ATCAACCTTTTTTGGAAGAAAAATCCAAACAAAAAACAACATAGAAAAACACTATCTGAGAACTCGAGTACTCCAGAGTGTCTCATCACACACAGCTCAATCATCTTCATACAGCTTCCCCAGTGTCATTTCCTTCAGTTATCATTTGTTCTCAAACAAGATCTGGCTTTTGCAAAAAGGCTTTGTGCGCCACTCCACCATCATGGAACTAATAATCTATTTCCACACGAGAAATGCAGCTGAAGCACAGACACGGGATGCTTATGCCATTTATGGGGTCCCAGCACCTGCTCCCCATGTGCTTCAAAATGCGGAGGCTCCTCCCAAACCTGCCCGGCAGCAGCACAGGGTCAAAGAGGTACATTAGCCAGGGCACTGTTGCATGGCTAAAGGTGACCTGCTGGGGAAAAGTGCGGTTCTTTAAGACAGGACTGAAATGTTTCTTCTCAGCATGTTCTTTAGTGGAAAGTTTCGATTTTTTTCCTGAAAGATTTTATGGGTGAGCGGAGAACTAATTCTTACCTCTGATCTTGTCACAAACCTAAGCAAACCGTGACAGATAGGAAGTGATTTTTTAAATTCAGGCTGTTTTAAATAATTTGCTTTTTTGCCTGTTTAGTTCAAGGGCCCTTTACCTATGTGGAAGAAGCGTTCATTTTGTTAGACATTCAATACCGCAAGTACCAAGAAACTTCCAAAACTATATTGCTAGATTTTATTACTAAATTTATCAACAAAAAGAAAGATTAGCCTGTGCATTTAAATCCTTTATAGAGCATATGTCTGCTGACTTCAGTAGACAAATATATACATACATATGCTGCTTTTGTATCTCACATAAAAGAACCAAGAACTTGTTGAAGATAACAGGCTCCTGCAGGTTTTTGTTCAGCTTTTCTTGAAAAGCAAAAACGGTCAAAATGGTGAAATATTACACCCAGACAACGTGTACGTCCTTTGGGTGGTAAAGGGTCATGCGCACAACTGCATTTCGTGCCCACTGCCATCAGCTCCTTTGCTGACCTGGTCATGGCTTTCTCCCATGGCTGGAGATAGTAGAACACAGCTTAACTGACATACAACCTAAATCGGATTTACAGACAAATCAAATCCTCATTTCCAGGGAATTTGTTTCAAGGCTTACATCAAGGCAACTTGCAACCTAGGCTCAGCAGAGATAATTTTTTAAATCTTTTGGTATGTGGCACTTTAAAAGGTTTACCATGTCTGCAGCAGACACTGACCCCATTCAGTTCTGCCAGGGAAATGGCAACACCATGATCTATTTGAGACTTTAATTCATGTCAGTACACCAAAAACATGATATAGCAGAAAATAAAAAAAAAAGTGATGAAACGCCAGCTGAAGATTTTCAATGAGAAAATACCTGTAAATTAAGGACAGTATTTTCAGAATGAACAGGGCCTCAAAAGCAGAACAATGCAGAAATGTAAAATAAACATTACAGCACTCAACTTTAAAGACAGTATGAGCTATTTTGTCATGAGTAATGGGGAAGAGAAGGTGACAGATTAGAGTTGGGGAGAGGGAAATCATGCAGGCTCTGATTAATCAGAACTGTCTACCCACATTTGCCTACACAAGCAGAATTAAAACCATCCAACAAGTTTTGGTGCCAGACCTCAGAGACTGTGGTGGAAATAATGCGCCTTGACATTTTTAGAGTTAAAGTGATAGGGAGGAGAGCAGCGTTTTACCATTAGAAGTCCTGTGGTCATTTGCAGAGGATGCCACAGCTCTGCTTTGAGAAGAAAGAGTTAAATTACTCAGAGCTATTACATCCTGTCGGCTGCTTGGCGGGACCACATACTGTGACAGCTGCGAGCTTTACATCCTCTGCAAACTGACATTTTACACACACACTGAGTGCATCACACTGTTCAGCTTGTTTTCTCTATTAGCCCTAGCAATTACAAAGGCAGCACTTTCCCTGCTAGAGGTGTGCCAACCCCTCTCTTTTGCCTTTATGGTTAAACAGCAGAACTTCACCTTTTCATTTAGAAAGGTTCCTTTTTATTAGTAAGAGCATAAATACATGCTACATGTCTTCCTTTTTAAAAGAGCTTTCTTCTCTCATGGCTGGGATTCTTTTGTTTGTTCCTTCTTCTTAATTGGGATGCAGCACAATAAATTTACATTCAGTTCAGACTGCATCTGAATAAGTCCATAGCTCATCCAGATAATCAAATCTGATACAAATTTTAAATAAGGATCCATTATACACATTTATGTCATGCTGCCTATCAATGCTTCTTCCACTGCCTTGGTACAAATGAAAATGACAAATGGAAAAGGTTAATCTAGATCAGAGCTGAACCTATATAAAAAAAATAAGAAAGTCTACATTAATGAGTCATTCCACTGCTCTATAATTATCTCTGTGATAATTACACTTTGAAGTGCTCATAATAGAAACAAAGTCTTTACTGACTTTTGGACATCTTCTGTCACTACTGAGCTCTGTCTCCTTCCCTCTACATCCCTCATTTTACAGTCCCTTCTTCTGCCACGGCATTATTCCACGTTTATGGTAAATAAAGGTGAATTCTGACAGGGTTTAACAGAGAGATGGCTTGGTCTTCTGGGTACAACACTGGGCAAGTGCCTACAGATCCCCCAACTTCCAGTCTGCCTTCCATTCATTTCATGACTTTACCTACCTATGCCTATTATGTCTCAGAAAGCATGAGGCATAAAATATCCAGGAAGTTATTTAAATGTCAGGAGAAGAAAACAGAGGTGGTCAGCTCTGCTCTTCCTTTAAATGGGTAAGACCTTCACAAAAGTTCCCCAATGCCTCCACCTCCTTCCTTCAGCAGGCCTTTTCTTCTCCATATTCTTCCACTTTCAGGTTGGTGGGTAGGACGTTCATAATATCCCCAAAAGAGGGGCACTTGTTCTCAGAAGAACAAACACTCAGCATCCAAATTTTAAATTACAGCAGAGAATAATCTGATTTTACTGACAAGCTGTGTATATGCTATCAGTCAGTTTCTGAAATCACACATACCAAATCTCCTATCTGGAACATGAGATCCTCCATGTTAGCCCTCACACAGACATGGTGTACAGCATCTCTTGACACACCAGATGGCACTGGGAGGTTCATTCCTTAATCTGTGGACCAGATGCGTCTACAGATTGAAACTGCTAGACTTAGAGGCAGATGATACTCCACCTACCAGGGCTCTAATACTTCCAAGGGGTCCTGCTAGAAGATACTCACTAAAAAATGCACTCCTGATCTGAATTAAAATGCTTGTATAAACTTAGAGATAGATAAGGTAAAAAACCAACATCGCTTCCACCTGAACCCTTCTAACTTCTTGAAGCTGCAGCATTGTCCAGAAAGGAGTTCCACAGATCTGCTGCTGCTGCATAAAGAATGACCTGAATTATCTCTTTTTCATTTGTTTTGCACCTAGCCCTGACTAGGGCCATTTAACAACCTTAGTTCTTACACTGGAAGAGATGGCAAACAGTCAATCCCTATTTACACACCTCCCATGATTCAGAAAACCTCTACCTACGCCACTCCCTACAGCTCTTCTCTTTTCCAGGCTGAAAGGATGCACCACGTAAATGGTAATATGGAAGCTGACTGTATCATTGAGCATCCTCACTGCTCTTCTCTGAACATTTACAGTGCTAACATAATCTTCTGAAACAAGGGGCTGTCGAACCACTACAGCAGTACATAGCAGTATATGCTTGCTGTTTCACCCTCTACCCTTTCCTAACAGTTTTTAACATATGGTTAACGTTAAAGCTTCTTAACATTTGCCTTCTTGATCAGCACTGACCTAATGCACTCGTGGAACCATCTGTCATTATCCCAAAACCTTGTGGTGAGTGGCAACACCACAATTTGACCCTAAAAATGAACAAGAATGCACAGTCAAGCTTGTAGTAACTGGAACAACGTTAAATGTAATACAGGAATTGTTTGTTCAGATGAGCATTAGCACAAGAAAAACTGCCATTAACACATTACAGTGCTCTTCAAGAAGATACTAGCAATTATTGTATGGCCATTTCTTGCTACACTACAAAGTAATCATGTAATAACCAAACTCTTAATCCCAGTCTCCTGGAATTTTACACATTTAGTCTAGCATCTGTCCCGTTTTCCCTTAATCCATCCTTTTGGAACGTGTGTGCCTTGCTTGTCTGTTTCAGGATTTTGCACAATTTACAATATACTCCAAGTGAAAAGATCAGGCATTGCTTTTATAGATACATAACAACTACTTCTGGAAAACCAGAGTAATCAAATAAAACAACAACAACAAAACTTCCAAGAGTTACACAACGGTATCTTCTTTTACCCATGATCTTTTTGCTTCAAGTCGCACAGAATTTTAAGCCCAGCTTTTCAAACACCTAGCTATGTATGAAATTTGCTGTGGAAGATCAGTACTGATCTTTGAAATTTGAATTTCTACTCATCTGAGTGTGCACTTGGATCAGCAAAGAGGCAATCTAATGATGCAAGTGGCTTGTTTATAGGGACCTATCCAGAATATACAGTACTTTCAGCGTATGAAGGAGCTCAGACAGAGCCATTGCAGTTACCTGTGCACTCCTACTGCAGCTAAGCCTACCTAAAGGGCCACCGCCTTTAGAAGTGCGATGCTACAGTGACTTGTGTGATCAAGTTGCCCTGACAACCAATGGAGATCCTCTTTACAGCTAATCTAGCAGATATCTGTATTTTTGGGACAGATAGCCCTAAGGTTCGTGGCTTGCCATCACTCACATTTCCTACCTGCCTTCTCCCCCAGTAAAGCACAGAGATTATCAAAATCAAAAGCACATCGTACAAACCTAGAGTGTGGTTAACTGACATTACTGTTATGTTGCATTCCCGGTGCTGCCTGTCTGGTACTGCTGAAGCACAGATCAGTAACGTGAGACTCTGTCTGACAGGCTTTAAGTGTTTGTACGAAAAAATCAAAGAAGAGAAACTGCACACATACCTTCAGGACAGTCCACTGCTCTACAACAATTGCGTCATAGCCCGGCATGGTTTTACTGTCTTCCACAGCAACATCTTCAAAGAGAAATACTCCATCCATTGTCCCATGTAGAGACTCTGTGAAAACACAGGGTTATTTATTAGTAACAAATTATTCCAAGGATGTTAATAAAAATGTGCATGGGCCTTCCTGTGATAGTTCAGCTCCAGTAAATGAGTGAGACTAATATCTCTAGCAGGTTTTTTTGTGCAGTCCTACTCTCTAATAGCAAACCTCACTGTCTACTCTTAGTCTAGAGTTTTTCCTCAAAAGACACAGCTGTCCTATAAAATTCAGTCCTGAGTTCAGCAATACTGCTCACCTTCTTTAAGCTACACACACACTTTGAGGGCTAAAGACCATGTATTATGTCAACTTTTCGAGGGTTTTTGAAGGTACACTGATATTAATGACTATACCCATTCATTCACACAAGTCAGAACCCTACATATGGATCAGTCATTCAAGTTACAATGATCTGCATGGACTAAGGATGATCTGGCATATCTGAACAGTGTGAAAGTAAAGATATATTCATAACTATTTAATAAATTTATGAAGGCATTTTGACCATCTGGTTTAGTGACTCTCTATTTGCATTTGCATTCCCAGCACGTTCAGCCTCTTATTCAGACAACACATACTAATAAAGTTACTTGAGCAGCACTTCTTCCTTCAACTTAGCCGTATGCTCCATAACCAGTAATCACTCTCATACACAAGAACTCAAGTTTTGTCAGCTCCATGACAGAACACAATCAGAACAACTTAAAAAAAACCACTTACCTGAGCTAAAATAAGCAAAATTATGAAGCAATAGAATTATATTTAGAAAAACTGTAAATAAGCAGTCCTGTTCTCTTTATGAACACAGAAAACTCCTCTCAAGTTGTCAGAAAGTGTGTTTTTCAGCCTTTCTAGTTTAAATAATACATTTACCCTGTATGACTGATTATAAAGACCTTGCCCATCCCCTCCTCAACTGTTGTATTTTGCATGGTAGTTTCTTTACATTTTTAGGAAAACTATGTTCCTTGCACTGGTATGATACATGGTTTTGAAATGCAGCCACACATCCCAAACCAAAGGTACCTGAACTGACAGGAGACTCTTTGGGATAAGCCTGCTTAGCTTTTTCATCAGGTCCTCCTGCTTTCCCTGGTGGATGTTAGGAGGTCAAGCAATGCCAGCAGGAAGGCACTGCTGCTTCCAAGGAAAAACATGTATCAAACTCAGAACCAATTTTCACAAAGGAGGCAGTGAAGAGGATTAAGAGGCTTCTTACCTCTTGCAGACACAATCTCAGTCAAAATCTTCTGATGTCATTATACAAACTAAATTCAATTTATTATCTGGAAATAATAAATTTGTTGTGGACAAAGCCCACCAAACTCAAGCCCAAGCTCAAACCAGACTCCTACCGTTGGAGGCTTACACCTACAAACAAACTGTAGCAAGGCTGCTGCTGTAAGTGTCAAGCATTTGCACACCCTCCTGCTTCTATTTGCACAATCCACTGCTTTCTCTTGTGCAGTTTCAATCAAGTTTAAGTTGTAAGTGAGCAGATGTAAATACTTGTGTCTAAACTAATACAGCATATTTTTTTTAGTTCCGTTTTGAAGGAAAAAAAGTTGTAAACCACTTACTAGGGACTCTCCTGAGGATTCTGTTGGGAGACTCAAAGAAGTAGAAAAATACACTGTGTACTTTCTCACTGACAGTCTCCCCAGGCAGGTTTCCTGTAACGCTGTTTAGAATAAAGATACGACGACTCCTCAGCACTACAGCAAGCCAGTGTTACACGTTGCTCCAAGGAGGATGAGCTGGACTACAAAGCAGTAACTCCTGTCATCCAGACAGATTTCTCATCCAAGTGACCAGGCCAGACCACTAAGTAGCTGGGTTACAGATTAGAAAACATAGGGAGAACAAGCTTGCCACATACAAATGGGTAGAAGATTTAATTATCAATTTCATTGAGAAATGGCACTTTGTTAGATCCTGCATTTCAAAGCGGGAACCAACTTGACTTCTGTGCAATATATCACATTCCAACACCCAAACCCATACGCAAACCTATTTAAGGATTCATAATGTATAAATAACCCTTTAATTTTCCAAAGTGGGGATGACAAGACAGCACCTAAGGCTGAAAGCAGAAACCCACAGATCACTACTAGACCCAAACACCCAGGTCTTGCCAGGAAGCCTTGTACAGCACTGACGGACTGCTCCTGTGTCATGAATTCTCTTAACGAAATTCAGTGTCGCGCTGTTGGCACAACTGCAGCCTGAGCTCGCCCCACGCGTTTGCCAGCTAATTAATAAGCGATCAAAACACAGTCAGCGTGTGTGTGTTTACACTCGCTCGTAAATCATCCTTTATGTTTCACTCTGCTGCGCATTCCACTCGTGCAGTTCACAGCTTCCACATATGTGAACATTATGGCACATATGTAATGTTTTAAAAACTAATAGCTGAGCTCATGAGACCCTACAGGCGGCAGATAAACTTGACTGCGCTTCCTCATTGGATGTACAATGATTGCTGTTGAATGCTACATCCAGTTAATCCTAAGATCCATTAATTTTTTGGCCATGAAAGAAACCTATGGAAAATGAGAAAAGTGGAAGGGGAAAAATGATGAGGGAGAGACTGCTGCTGCATACTGTTGTCTACTTGGCAGAGTGATGCTTTGTAACTCTGTAGGAGAAAACTGTTGATGATGCTTAAGGTTCTCCCCCTTAACCATAACCAAGTCTCCTCTCTACCTATTGTGCCACAACATTTAAACTTTCACAGCATGAATGCACATCTGCCAATTCTCACACCTTGGCTGTACATCTTCCCTTTCACAGCTCATCTACTCCTCTTCCAGATGAAAGGGGGAGGTAAATGAAAGAATAATTGTATTACTAATTCCTTCACATGTGAAGCATTTGGGATGCTGAGAATAATTGGAAGAAAGAAGAAAGCAGCACAAAGAGAGCTAATGGGGTCATATTTTGGAGAAAAGGCACTCATAAACCATGCTATGGCATCAGAATCAGCAGGATTTTCAGGGATACTGTTACACAGATGTGTGTAAGGGCAAGGAGATGGACAGATGCACTGAGTCTCCCTGCAATACCTTTATTACAGATGCTCTAGAGTCTTCAGCAACTGAAGTCTACAGTCACATGTTCTAGAGCTGGCCCACTGGGTGAGATGCATGTAACCGAACAGTAGATAGTTATGATATTGAGATCTACAGATGAGTTAATCACCCAAGGCTCTCTTTACAATTGATGGAAAGAAATAAGCATTATTCCATTCAGGACCCAGTTTCACAGAATCACAGGATAATGCAGGTGGATAAGGACCTCAGGAGGTCCCCAGTCCTTTCTCCTGCTCAAAGCAGGTTCAGTGCAAGCACAGAACAGGTTGCTCACGGCTTTTTCTAGTTGCATCTTCAAAATTTCCACAGATGGGAGTCTGCATAACTTCCTGGGCAGTCTCTTCCAGAGCGTGTCTGTTTCCATGATAAAAAAGTTTTTCTTTATATCCAACCAGGACCTCTCTTGTTTCAATTTATAGACATTTTTTCTCATCCTTCTACCACACACCTCAGTCAAGAGCTTGGATCCATCTTTGCGATAGTCTCGTTATAGGCACCGCCAGGCACTGTTAGGTTCTCCAAGCTGTCCCTTCCCCAGGCTGAACCACCCCAGCTCCTTCTGTCTTTCTTCACAGCTACTGACTGTCTTGTTGGCCCTCTGCTAAACTAGCTCCAGTTTGTCAACATCTTCCTTGCTCCCTTTGGAGGAGGGCCCAAAACTGGACGCAGTATGTGGTCTGGATGCAATCTAATTATCCTCCCAGTTGAGGAGGATAATCACTGTCTTTTATCTACTGGCTCTTGCAGCCTGGTACACTGTTGCCTTCTGCACTGCCAGGGCATATTGCTGCTTCATCCTCAACTTGCTGACTACTAACATCCTCCAGGCCCTTTTCAACAGAGCTGCTACTCAGCCAGGCAGTCCCCAGCCTGGATTAGTGAAAAGGCTTCTCCCTTCCCAGAGGCAGGACATTTTTTCTCGTGGAATTTCACAAAGCTCCTGCTGGCACATTCTTCCAGTCTGCCCAGGCCCCTCTGGACAGCAGCCCAGTTCTGAAAGCACATCAGCTGCACCCCTGGGGTCATCTGCAGATTTGACAAAAGCAAGGCCCGTTGCCTCCTCTGCACCACTGATAAAGTTGTTAAACACAACAGGTCCCAGGATAGATCTCTGTGGTACTCTACTTGTTACTCCAGGTAAAGTGTGACCTATGAACCACGACTCTCTGAGCTTAATATTTTACTCATCTAGTTGTCCTCCCATCTAGGCTGCAGGGTCCTAACTTGGATACAAAAATATTGTGGGAGCCACTGTCAAACTTCCTTGATTAATTCACCCAAAAGGACATCTACTGCTTTCCCTTCATCCACAAATCCAGCCATTTAATCACAGAAGACAATCAGTTTCATCAAGTATGATTTACTTTTGTTAAGTCCATGCTGACTGTTCCAAATAATTCTCTTCTCCTTCATGAATCCAGAAATGCGTCCCAAGATTATTTACCCGGGAATGAAGTGAGGCTGACCATCCTGTAGGGTCCCTGGGTTGTCCTTTTGATCTTTTTTTAAAAACAAGTGCAACCTTTGCATTTCTCAAGTGTTGGAAAACTCCCCTGATCTCCATGACCTTTCAAAGATGACCATAAGTGGCCTTGTTATGACATGAGCCAGTTCTCCCAGCACCCTTGGATGCAGACTATTTGGTCTCACGCAATCCCTGGCTTGATCTTCATCCACTGCTGCTAGTCCTGCACCTCCCTGAACCTTCCCTCTAAGCTAAGAGGCCTTGAAGACTGCATCAGTGAAGACGAAGGCAAACGAGGCACCAAGTATTTCAGTCTTACCTAGGCCTGCTGTCACTAAATCACCCATTCCAATCTACCTGATCTCTTTTTATGTATATCTGATGTAGGATGAGGCGAATCACAACACAAATCCTACTGACTATTTTGGTCAAAGCCTAGATCTCTATTGATTATAGTGGCACTTTTGCGTGATAACTCCTATGCAGATACCTGCAGGGTCTGCCCTGCCTACACTTATTCAGCCGAATCTTACCTAACCTGTCTACAAAGATCAGCTATTCAAAGCTTTAGATGGTGAGTTCATCTTGCCAGTTTCCACTGCTCCTCATGCAAGGTATTTCCTGATTCTGATGCAGTTGTATTCTCTTTTGGTAACCTCTTGTTTAACAAGATTTTGCTCCTGGAACTTAGCCTACACTAAAAAGGTCTTCAGTAATTCCAAACATTGTTTCATTTGCAATGGGGCAGTAAGGAATGCCAATAAAACAAACCATTTTGACTTTTCTTTCTGTGGTATCATTTTCCAATCTCTATACTTGAATTGACGTAACTTCACTCTTTCTTAAAAGAAAAGGCTCTGAATGTAAAGGTTACAATCACTGTCCTTCCTCTGAAAATGTTCCATTACCACCGCATTTTTTATTAAGGTATCCTACTGTGCACATAAAGCTATTTTCACTGGGTTGTATAAATATTTGATGTAGCTAGGTTGACAAAAAGCTATTCTGATGTTCTTGCTTCTGATTTACAAGAAGTATATGGGAAAAGACTTCTTACTTTACCGTCACAGCATTCCTAGTGGGCACCAATTTTCCCCTTGCTGTCTTTGAACTACAAATTGCCCATACCTAGGAAACTAACCTTTAGGCTGCTGTTGCTCTCAAGAAGGAAAACTAGCTATCTGTGACTTTATGTGGCATGTGACCTGAATGTTGGCCTTTGCTTCATATTTATATTCTTCCCTTCTCCTTAATTTTTTTCACCTTCACCATACACAGTCAAAATAATTCCATATGGATGATCAAAGTTCCAGCCACTTCAGTGGATAAGGTGACTATAATTGGCCACACACATCACTGGTTCATCTCTGTCAGACGCAGTGCGAATATAACAATCAATGTGACCCTCTAAAAACTTGACTACTTTCCTCCGCCAAGCAACTCACATTTTGTTTCATTTACTTTGTCTTTAAGAACTGTCAGTGTTGTCTGGTTGGTTGGCTGGCTTTTTCTAAGTTTGAAAGGCAGGAAATTCACAGACAGAATGGCAAAACAAATACAAGAACACCAGGCACTTACAGACCTGCAGTTCAAAACAACTTAAGATGAGCAGGCTTGTGATTACTCTGTTAAGGCATCAAAATATAACTTAGCTCTGACTCTTACTCCCTTCTCACACTGCTGACTAGAGACTTGCTGTTATAGGAAAAAAAGCGATCCCACCGATTACAAGGGTGAAGTTCTGTGATCACTTTAGATCACTAGGCAGGACCAGTTTACATTTGGGACTACAGGCAGAATTAGCAATGACATGAATTGGAAGAAAAAGCACCAGCAACTAACTAATCTCCAAATTTAAATAACTGATATTTTTCAATAGAAGAACATTCAAGGACCAAGCAAGCTGCTGTTTCCAATTTATTAGCAAAATCTGAATACATTTAATATATGGTGTAACTCTGCATGGTTTACATATTGTAATTTGCAATTGTGTTATATTTCTGTTTGTAATTATCTGATACAATAATAATCAAAAAGAAACAATTGTTTATCAGTGAACTTTAAATCTCTTTTAAAAACTAATTATTAAACTGTTGGCAGAAGGAAGAAACAGATTTATGACTACTGACAATCTGGAAATCTTCACTTCACTGGGCATTCCAAGGACAAGGGGGGAAAGAAGAAGAAAATAACACTGCTTTTAAGTCTAATAAAGCAAGATAATGAATTCATACTTTAAGCCAAAGAGAAAACCAGCTCCCGGAACAAAGAAATGTGATATAACCAATTAAAGAAAGTATATTACTATTACCTTAATTTGGAAGAGGATTAATCAGTGAATAAGGAGACCAGTTATGAAGAGCTGGATATGTTGCCATAAAAGACTAGAAAAAAGTACAGAGCTGAGAAGCTGTCAGCCCCCCCCTCTTTTTTCCGTCCTTCTTGCCCTGGGTTGTTTCATACCGGTTGGCATATCAGTGAAAAAGCTGTTCCCTTTCTCTGTGAAAATTTTAGGATTTAAATCACAAATGTTTAACTGCAACTGATAGTAACTTACAGGTGTTGTTAGCAAATCTTCTTCTAATGCCATGGGCATGTTCATGGTGTTATAACTTAACTGTTCTAATTCATACACTTCTAGAAATCTTAACTCTAAGATTTTTGACTTCTGAACCTGTTCTTCCTGTAACTGTAAAACGCTAATAAAAACGTTTACTAATAGTTCATCTTGAATCTCTAATCTAACTTAATCCTGAATCTGTCCACTTCTACATAATTCATTGTTCTGTTTACATTGAAACGTTACTGTCATCATTCAAGCCTACTTTATCTATGTCCACAGGCAGTTATCCAGCACTCCGCACTCTGGTATCCAAGCACATGAACTTCCCCCAGGCCTCTGTTATGTAAATGAACTTAAGAAGTTTAAATAACAGAAAAATGCTGTGTTTAAAGCATTTTAGAGTGCACTGATAAGCAGATTTTATTAAAGAAAACACTGAGCCTGATAAAGCCAATTAGATTTGCCTCTATGAGTTGCAATTTATACACATAAAGTAAATGACCATTTGTTTTTAAGCAAGTTAACTAGCAATTAAAGGCTTTCCAGGAAGCTGTGCAAAAGCATTCCAACAGCTGAACTTTAGACCTTCCTTTTTTTGCTACTTGCTTGCAAAATGAAAAATTAGGATTGCCTGTTGATTTCCTGATTGACTTTTACCAGAACTGACTCATATTACTATGTTTTGTCATGGGTCCTGGAATTTTGACCAGCAGCAAAATGGGAAGAAGAAGCTCTGGAAGCAGTTTTCCTATAATTTTGAGGCACAAACCCATGGATCTTGGAAGCAGCGCCCAATCTATGGGTTACCACATTCCTTTTGAAGAATGCAAAAACCAACAAAAATGTGGTGAAAGATGCAGCTTTAAGCAGTCTAACCATGAAGTATACTAGTCACATCATTTTCCAATAAAGTTAATCCAGCTGTAACTTCAACATTTTTCTGTTCAAGTACTTTCCTTGGTTTGTTCTCATGGTCCCTTGGTTATGTTTCTCTGACCCTGACTATGCACCAAAATCTTTGTACAGCAGGCTTGACTTCAGAAACAGACACCATGGTGGCCACAAGCATAGTACAGACTGGCTACAGTATTAAGCTAGATTCAGTGCCACATTTTCACAACATACAAAAATCTCCTTTTTAATCTACTCTTCTTAATTTAAGACCAACATTTATCCACCACTTACATGAACACACTAGCTAGCATGAAACAAGCACAGAAGACAATATTATAAAACACTGTGACATCAAGGTGGGAAGGGTCTCGGCAAGAACTGGGAGTAACTGACTACAAGTTGGCCAGGGGAAACTGGAAAGCCCTTACACTGACCCGCAATCAGACCCAGATGCAGCATGTGGCTGGACAGCTAAGAGGAAAGCCAGTCTTCCATTTATGTCATCTACTTTACAATCTTATTACTTTAATCCATTTTACTTGGTACTGTTTATTGACTTTCTATATTTCTGCAATTACAGGATCATTGCTAGTATGTTTATAAAATACAATATATGATCTGATTTCCTTATTCAAATGCCAAAATATTTCCTGTGCTTTCATTCTATTTTACTGAAATAGGCTGATGTAAAAACAAATCTGCCCCAAGCCTATATTAAAGCATCTCCCAAATGTCTTCTCTTCAAAGATAATGACCTCTATTAGAGGAGAAAGGAAAATAATCACAGCATAATGCTTTCTGTAATTTCCATACCATTTACCATTCCAAGGCTGAAGATGGCGTTTACCAATGAGCCCCCTTTCCTGAAGTGATCTGTCATGTGCTCCAGCCAATTTGCTTCTAAGCCATTGACAGTCTGCCCATTCCTGGAGATCCTCATAGGGATAGTCACCGTATAGTACTGGCTGCATCTTTGTGGGGTTTTTGGCTTGTTGAAAAGAGCAAAGATCTCTGCTTCTAACAAAAAGAAAGAAAAAAAAAGAGTAATGCAACAACTATCATAAAATTTCAGCTAAAACAATGTATAACCCACTGTTTTGCCTTGCCTGATTGCACTGTGCAACTGCAAATATTACTTTGGGTCATGGTTTTCTCCTTAATACATTTCTGCAGGGTCCAACACAGTAGGGTCCTAAAACCCAGTATGATATTTTGATTGCTGTTACAATATTAATTACTAATAATGGATTAATTGTTAACAACAAAACACTTAAAGACAGTAATAGCCGAGTATTAATGGACAACCCCCCTGCTGGAGTTCTCAGTGTAAACAAAGATAGGAAAGCAAACTGCTTTAAGTACTGTAGCAGTTGTAAGCGGAACTGTGAGGAGTCTTACAAATGAGAACATTTTCTAGACTTGGCTCTAGATGTCCTCTAGTAAATCACAGGAGCAGCTAAGGTAGGCTGTCATTGTTGACAACAAAGCTGAGCTTTCACAGCCCTAAAACTGGAAGCACGTTTAAGTGCAGATACACCTTCCAAATTCTCAGAAGAGTACAACCATCAATAAAATTATCAATAAAAAAATCTTAGACATTATTATTTTACTTATTAATGGACATGGAAATCAATGGTGAAATTTCTAATGACTTCCAAATGCTAAAAATTGTCCCAAAATAAATTAATATGAAAGGTAAAGACACTATGTAAAACTCATTCATTCAATAACCTCCTCTCGTTTCCAAGTTATTACATTGTAACTTCAAGTATTAAAGTAAAGAAAGAGATGTAAAAAGAAACATTAAGATTGCTCTTGAACAAACATCACTGAGCAAGAAGTAGTGTGTAAATTGAAAAAGATATTAGAAAGGAGATGCTCAGAGACAGGCTGGCAGCTCTTGAAGAAGAAAGAAGGAAGCTCAGGATATAACCAAACAAGAAAAAGAGACCTAATGATCCCAGACATGAACCATGATTCAATAGAGTAGAACAGAATAAACTGTTAACATGAACCCTCTTGCTGTTTACCACTTGTTTAGAATGAACAAAATTATGAGAATCCTGACTCAGAAAAGAAAACTTCTATGATGGTTTTGATTCTGACCCCCAAAATATACTCATGTTGGCAATGGAGATCTTTCTAATGTATACGAAGACATTATATTAACAAAAGCAAATAATGTAACCAGAAAACCATAGGGAGTTAATCTGGATCTGCCACTGGCCTACTGACAACATGCATTTAAAATGCATGAATCTTTCAGTGGTTGACTTGGTTTGTCACCATTACTGGTACAATATACCAGTCCTAACCACTGCTCAAGCCACTACTGATACCAGCTTTCACTGTAAGCCTGACTGCTCAAGCACGGACGAAGACACCTTCAGTTTGGTTCTAGTTAACACAGCACTTCTGGACAAACCATTGGAATATCTGTGCCTTGTTGACAGGCAAATCATTTTCAACGCTGCTGTGAAGAGCCTTTAATAAAAGGGAAAGTGAATGAGCACCACAAAATATTCAGAAAAAAAATGAAGAAGCATAAACACTTGAATAGTATAAAATCTAAAATAAAGAAAAAAAAATTCCACAATAGTAAAAAATATAACTTCTTTTTTCCTGAACTTTTATGTAGGGAAGAAAGAGTTCAAGAGTAGTAACTTCCTATGGAATATGTAGGTTAACTGGAAAAAAAAAAACAACAAACCAAAACACCTGATGCATTCTATCTTTATGTTCCCAAGGAAGGATGGAGAACTGGTGCCAGAGACCGAAATACATTTTCCATGAGAGGAAAAGGGAGTGCTGTAATAACAAAGATTCATGAAAGAGTAATAAAGAAAACAACAACGTTGCACAGGCAATAGATTTGGGAAAACCCTACCATAGGTGAACTGTCACATAAAACTGCCTTCTCAGACCTTCAGTCTGCAAAACTCACCAATTAAAAAAACTGTATGAGAAATAATTAAACCCAAAAAGCACTCAGAGAAAAAAAGAAAAATAAGGAAACTAAAGGTATTTTTAAAATAAAACCTCTTATCTGGCAAATCAGCAGCTGTAATAAAACCCTGAGCTGTTACAGACATAGAAGCTGGGAAGATTGGCATTGATCAGCTTCAGATTATGCAGAAATACTAAAAACATGGTTACTTGTAGCAAAACATTTCCACTCTTCAGTATGTAGAAGAATAGCATCAAAAAGATGAAGTAAACTTGCGAGGTTAACTTTCTCAAAGACAGTGGAGATATATAAAGAGAAAGAAGTGGTCTGATTAGACTTGGAGAGAACTAATTTAGAACTAACAACTAAGAATTTAGAATTTAAATTTAGAACTATTTCAACTTGTATTAACTTAGAACTTAAATTTAGAACAATTTAAAACTAAGAAAGGTTTCGTAATGCGTAAGATTCTAATGTAAACCAGAACAATTTTTTTCAAATAATAGCTATGCTTTGATCTAATCTTGCTGCCCGTTGCCCTGCAAAAATTGAAGATAGTATGGTGAAAGGTTAGTAGAGTGTGATCAAATCTGACGGCAAAAAGCTAATTACATCAAAATGCAACGGAAGCCAAGACAATAGTCCAAGGAGGGTACAAGGCAGAGTCATTCTCAGTCCTACACACAAAATCCCCAAAGGGGTAGGACTGAAACTGTGTAAGACATAAAGAATAAGGATAAACTAAAGTCAAGGACAGCACCAGCTGAAAGGAATGTCTATGGAATTTCCTTACACAGATTGGGAACTTTCAAGGAAAGTAAGCAAAGTGGTAAGAGAAATGAGTATACACACAGTTTTCTAGGATTTAAGCAAATACAGGAAACAAAAATAATTTGAGGCTTAAACTGGAAACCGGGCAAGGACTTTTTTTTCTGATGACTTTTAATTTTCTAAATTACTCTGGTCTACATCCTATTTTCAACTACAATTCCTACTTCTGAAGTAACCTCCAACCAACACCTTAAGGAGGGTACTTTGAGACCTCACCTGAGAGTTTTGGGTTTTGATGGCATAAAATGACATTTAAGAATAGAAAGTGCACCTGAGGAGAAATATGTCAAAGAAAGGAAAGACAGAAAACTGGTATATGAAGAATAATCTTACCAAAAAATGAGAATTGGAAAGCAGATTATTAGGAGAACCACTACCAAGAGGTCCTTTATTATGAATTTGCAAACATGAGTAACAAAAATAACTGCTGCTTTGCAGTAATAACAATTCTGACTGTAGCACTGACCGCAGCCTGACTATAGGATACTAGAAGACTTCAGAGTCCAGATCACATATAATCCTGCTGTTCCTGATGTGGTCTAATTTCAGCTATCTGTTCACCTGCTACAAAGGGGTTCACTGTGATAAGGCTTTGTGACTTATTCCTTCTGTTGCTGCAAAACCTTGCCAGGCAGATTAGCAGGGTTTTTTATTCAAATAGAGAAAAAGGATACAAAGATCAAGAGCTCTCAAGGTATTGCAACAAATGTAGAAATGAACCAGTTCAACTGAACAGGAGACAAAAGTAAGTCTTTACACTCAGGCATACAAACGGGCCATGACAAAGTTGCACCCACTTGTATCATCTCTTCATTTGCCATCTGACTTAAGCTCAGTCATTGTGAACTGTGTAACCATGCTGAAATCAGGTTAAGTGGCTCAATTGGTGCATCATTTCTTTGCAATTACAGTGGTAAAGTCCTCCCTACATCCCCACCCCCTAAAGTAGCTTGGAACATAATTGAGGCAATCTTAACTTGGCTTTTTGTAGAAGTCACCGCGATACTTACTGCCAGTGAGTGGTTTTAAGCATCGTGCTGGTGTTTCGCTCTCTGCAAGCCCATTTGGCTTGTCTACTGCTTCTGTTACACTTGGGCTCGCATGTTCAAACTGCTCTTCGTTTCCCTTCGCAGACTTGAGATTCAGCTCGTCGGTAGCCTGTCCTTCACCTCTGCAGCCCTCCCTGGATGTGGCACATTGGTCAGCACTTTCCTCACTCGGTGCTGGAGTACCGCATCCATTAATGCCATCTATTTTCTCGCCATCCGGTGAAGCATGATCCTCAGGGTAATTCGAAACATTTTTATTATCTCTTGATTGCACAGAGTTGTTACTGGCGGGTGTCAGGGAGGTGCTGACAAGACAGTTCTTTTGGGAATGGTACTGAGGTATAATTCCAACAAATTTCAAGCCTTGACTTGCAGCATCTTGAATCTACAAGTCAAAGAAGATTAGATTTTTAACTGTCAAGCTGTCTTAGCTAAATAGAAATACAGAAAATAACACCCTTCAAGGCAGCTGGCATGTCATTTTGCTTCTTTTGTCCACTACCACAAGAAATTGTCATATTACATTTACAGAAAAAGCTTTGTTCTAGAGAAGCAGGACAGAAAGTTTATAAATGGTCTGAAATAATGTGGAAATGGAGAAAAAAAAGAAAACTAAAAAAAGATAAAATACCTACATATTTCTTCACAAGGGATAAAGTATCTGAAAAGTTTATTTATGCTAAATTACTGGAAATGTCACACAACGTTTTAGTATCAACTTTTTAAAGTGAGGGTCTTAATATATCTTCTGCTGAATTACATTTGTTTATGACATTTCTGCAAGGAAAAGGTTAATCAGTTTCTCTGTTATATGCACCATTATAACAACAGTTGTTGTTTGTCCTATTTTGGATTGAGACACAAATGACAAACTTTCACATAATGAGTACATAAAAACAAAGCTATTTTAATAGCTTTTGGGAAGATACAGAGCTCAGAACAGAAAAAGGCATGGTGAGATGTGGTAAGGAGAAGAAGAAAAATGGGAACTAAGGGGCACTGTAATTAATCCTGCATACTTTAGGTAAAGGAGGAGAATGAAGGAATCAAATCGCAAAAGATCCCAAGAAAAAAAGCACTGGGCTAGCAGTAATGACAATTAGATAAAGCTGGAATTAACTACGGAAGGTTTGAGACAAAGCTGAGAGAGAAATCTTTTTTAAGCAGAATCAGGTCTATGGATGCAGCACCCACTCGAGTCACCAACCTCACACTCCTCAAACCCAGGAGAAGCTGCAATAAGGGCCAGACTTTAGTGAAAACATGAGTGTCTGCTGATACATTTATCAGAATCATCACCAAAAGGGAAAGATTTCCATGTAATGTGTACTCTTCGTATAATATAGTCTAAACACACATAAATATTTCAAAAAGAAATGCCTTGAGAATGGAGAAATAATTTCCCTCTCTCTGCATATCATTTAACTCCAGAGAGTTAAAGCGTCTCAATTATTCTCCAAGGCTCAATATAGTATGAACTCACATGTGACAGTTCAGGCCTTTTTTTTCAATAGCAACTAAATAGGAAGAATTTTTTAAAACTTTTTCTTTTTTAAATGTAAGAGGAATCTCATTTCTGCATCTTCCTTACCCAGAATATGTTGGGTTTTTTAAAAAATTAATCATCTACTTCCTCGTAATGGGTTCCTGTTCTGAACACAGAAGCCTACAGATGATACCTGATGAACAAGAAGAACTTCCTCTTTCAAATCACTATTATATCTTCCACGTTAAATTAACTCTTGAGATTTCATGATCACAGGAACTGAAACAGAGCTCTCCTGGAAACAAGGCAATGGTCTTCACAAGTGTTTAGCCTGGCGAACATGGCGTGCTGACTTAACTAAAGCTCATTGCTGAAAAGGACAATAACATCCAAATAAAATTACTACTAGCAGTATCCTGATTAAATGAGTATTTCTCTTCAAAGAAAGCGTGTAACTAGCTTGCTCAGAAAGGTTTAAGTGAATGTCAATGATAGATGCATTCATCACATTGTTAATGGTCCTGACTCCCTGTAGTAACTTTACAAATAATTTTTATACAGTCAATAGTAAGAGTTACAAATTCAGTTCATCTCTGATCGCTGATCTACAGACACACCACTACATTTGTTTAGTAGGCTGCAGGGCAGCTAATTATAGAAATTTAGACTAGAAATTTAACTACTATGCAAAGAGTTTGAGGATAGTACATATGTAGTAATTTTATTGGTCCTGGTCAATCAAGACTGCTTGTCAATCCATACCAGACTCTCCCACGCTGTGATTTGGATGAGAACAGCTTTCACAGCTATTGTAGCAATGATTCACAGTCTTGGCTCACTCAGGGAAAAAAAAGTGTTTGTTCTGAGGAGTACCTGACGCTGAGGTTTTTTTTCTGATGCTCTTGTTCTCAGAATGGAAATAGATGGAAATAAGGACTGACCCATAGTCTAAGCCACAGTAGCCTAATAGTTCAGCAGAAGGATTGCAAAAAGAGACTCTACCTTCAAGACCCTTCCCCAGGAAATCAACCTGCAGAATGCATAATCTTATTTAAACCTTTTACATAAGGTAAATTCCCAATTACATAAGGGAAAACCAAGCATCTCATTATTTTCAATAAAGCCAATTTAGCAGGAAATGTTACATCAACAGTGCAGTGTAAGCTGCAGAACAGCAAAGTGATAAATTGGCAGTCACAAAGAGTCTTTCCTTCCCACTTTCCACTAAAACATGAAGAGGCTAGCTCTCATCATAAATAAAGTATAAAGCCTGAACATTTTCAAACTGCAAACAGAGACAACTTGATTTTTCAGCATCCTGTCGGGAGCTTAAATAGTACAAAATTTTAGTTGTCTTCACATAGAGAATGAATTATGTCATCCAGTATACATTCACATTTCCTGTTTCCTGTATTGGAAATATTGAATATCTTAGCAAATGCGGTGTTGGGAACCAGCAAGAGGCCAATGCATGGGAGAATGGAGAGGAACTGAATGGGCAGACCATGATGTTACACTAACAGGGTCACCAGAACATACCCCAGATTGGACAAATACTACAATTACTTGCCTTTATGTGCCAGTTTAGAGTACCAACAAGGGTACTACCAAAGGTGCTTGTCATACTACGCTGTATGACCAAATGAGAGGAAAAAGCATAAAAAGCAGAACAACTGCATCTCCACTGCTTACCACATCAGAAAAAAAGCTAGATTAAAAACGCCCTTGCATTAGATTATCCATACTAATTCCAGTCGTTTTACTCTCCTCCTATGTATTTTAACTATGCTACATACTTGCTCTTTACATCTTGGGAAATTTTTTAAAGGGAAATTCCAACAAAATTTAAAATAATACTAAAAAAAATTCTTTGGTTCTTTCCCCAGATAGGAACAGAAACATTTTTATTGCCTCATGAAGTGCTGCATGGATTCTATTAACCACAAATACAAGAGCAGGTCTCCATCACAAAAGATGTTATTGTTCAACAACAGAAGGAGAACTTAATTCATTTATTTCAATCTGAATAAAGCCCCAAATGGGCACATCCAGATCAGTTTATAAGTACCTTGCAACAAAATTGCATTTACACCAGTTTAAAAATAGAACCTGCTTAAAGAAGAGGTGAAATTTCATGTGCACAGAGGGCTGAGACAGTTAAAGAATTTAATGTCATCCCTATAATTTGCTTGATTAGAAACCTGGCATTTTCCCTGAAGGGAAAAAAATGACAGATTTAGCCTTTGCTATATGTGAAATAAATATCAATTCTCCCACTAACTCTAGCAGGAATAGGAACAAGCACCGTGTCCAACCCTGATGTCACTACCTTAATTGAATTTTAGCTGGGGCACTTGCGTTAACGCTTCTTAACATTTGTCAGGAGTTACTGTTTATCTCTGAACTAACCGACCACAGTTCAGGAACCAGCAGCAGCACAAAGCAGTGTCACTAAGCATTATGTTGATGCTGTAAATTTCTGTCCCATCTTTTTAAATACTTCTGGTTCTCTTGAAGGCTCCCTACCCTAATTAAAAAATGGCTGACAGTCTAATTTAAAGATATGTAAAATCCCATGTGGCAACAGTATGGCTGAATGATGAAATCCTCTTTTCAGAAAACTACTTGCTTTTAAACTATAGGCCTCCCAGCCATCAAAGAAGTGCAGAGATTCCACGCTGAAAGCTCATTTTAAACAGCCACATACAGGTTTTCTTTTCAAATCTATTCAGAATAAAGACACTTGGCTAGTTCACTGTACAGTCCACATATTGTTTGTGATTCTGTTTCTTTTTGCATTATCAGCTCTGTAGCAATCTCCTACTCATAGCAAGCATGATGGTACCCCTTATAAATACAGAAGCTCAAGGATATAGATCCTATGCTGAGCAGAATCATAGACTTCTGTCAGCTTTGGTAACTGCTTACAGGGACATTTCTCCAAAATTTCTCCACATTTTGTCACACAGCAAATCAAACACTTCCTGCAAGCACAGGACAGTATTCTACCCGCATCAACAAACACAAGAAATAATGCACAGCAATTTAATAATGAGGATCTCTCTCTTGGATAAGGATTTTCAAACACATTTTCTAATAAGACAAGACCTTTGAATTTCTCTTAACTCTCGTATGCCAGGAGCCGGACATTTTTGGGATGCATCCAAAGGAAAAGCAGTTTTACCAATGTCATTGGGGCACTCCAGTTTATAGCAGTCCTAAATGGTCTCAAGGCTTACATTTCCTGATGATCTGGAAAAAAACACCTTCAAGACCTAGGCAATAGGACTGAACATTAATAGGCTTGCTATATGGTTCATGATATACCAAGGTACCGAAAGAATGTTGCAGCAACCTGGGACTGCTGCTAATATAAAAACAAACAACAGAAACAATTTACAAAGAGCACATGCTTGGAGAAAGGACAACATTTTCTATGTGCAATGAACTGATTTACCAATGGTCAGATGCATTTAGTTAGCTTTGCTGTAAACTAAGGGAATGACTGCTACTTAGTCCTACTGATGGGAAAACATACGGCCTTTGAAACAATAGCTGGGTTAATTTTGCTCAGAGCTATCTAAAACTTTTTGTAAGCCAAGCACAAGCTGTCTTAGCCAATAAAATAAATTCTCATCTGTCTATTTGGTGGTTGTTTTTAAGAGAACTATGTTGGAGGCATTAGATCTGATAATGTGTACCAGAAAGATCACTGTATTTTTCTACCTTGTTTTTAGGATTCAAGCAGATGTCCTTTGACAACAGACACAGTGCCCAGGATCTTCATGCAAAGAACATGATCTTGTGGTTTGAGGGGAACGCTATGTACTGCATACCAGGAGTTGGAACTGGAAAAGGACATTCAAGACTACAGTCTTCCATCTGTGTCCTCCTTCATT